CCACTTAATTAATGATTTTTTTTTTTGAAGTTGTTAACATCATTTATATGACAGGTAATCAACAAATTTGAGGATATGATATTTTTGCTTGTAACTCACTCTTTGGACTTTAATTAGCTAGGTGACACTGTTTTGAGGTTTTCTTGTTTCTAAGTAACTTACCTTTCATTTCTATTACTAAACCAAGACAAGGGCTTTTGTCACCATAGAGTAATCATAAAGCTATACTTACTGATTTAGGAAATTATACCCACTTGAAAGTTGAAACTGCCCAGCCAGTTCTCAAAGTATCCCTTTGATGTGATTAATAAAAAGGTTATCACAGTTCGAAAAAAATGTCAACACCTTTTACAGCCACTTGTTGGAAATATCTTGTCCTTGTGTCCTTCAAAATTATTTGGATCACTAAGGGATATAAATATCTAAGTATTAAATAAGAAAGAATGATTTCTTAACTTGGTTAAATTAAATTATAAATCAATTTTGCATGGCCATTTTTATCAATAACTATTGTTTCAAATGATAAGGACGGGAATGAGAACCGAATTAGTAGGGTAATTGATAAACCCATAAATATATAAAAAATAGATTTGGATTAGTCTTATATTAATAATTTACTTCTTGAAATAGGTTGAATGACTTAATTAATTAGAAAAATGTCAACTTAAAACAGAATCAATTTGATATTATTAGAATTCAATCAATTTTTTGAGTAAATTTGTATTTGTACACAATAAATAATAAAAGTGAATTTTAAAATAAAATCAACTCATATTTTATAATATTCATTCAAATATTTTCATTCATAAATCAGATCAATTCATAAAATAGTTGATTTAAAATATATTAATAAATCAGATCAATTCACAAATGTTATACAAAATGGATCGCAAGTCCATCTTTAATTAAAACACAATATGAACAGGAATCTAAGCTAGCTCATACCCTATACCTTGTTTTCGGCTGATAAAAAGAATTGTTAAAACAATTATTTCAAAATTTATTTATCATGTTTAGAGTAGGAATAATCGGAGGCGTTCAAAAGAAATCAAATAAATCCAATCCATAAAAATTGATTTTTTAAAATAGTTTTGAAATCAAACCACTTTTTTATTCTTTTGGATATGGATGGGTCATGACTCATGATTCATAAAAACCGGTTTTTTAAAAAAGGTTTTGAAATCAAATTATTTAGTTAGACATGGCAGTCAGTGTGAAACACATAGAATGATTGTCAAAATGGAGGTTAGTCTCGTCTTGTGGGCACTGAAATTTAGTGTGACTTATTTGCTCTATAAAATTTTTCATTTCATAATTTTTATTTCATGTTTATATTGTTAAATTTTTAAATAAATAATTAATTAATGATGAATATTTTTTTAAAGAATAAATATTTTATTTAAATTAGGAAATATCTTCCTGGATATAATAAGGTATTTACTATTTTTGAATATTAAAATTATAAACTGTTACATTATATTTATGACTTTGTATACAACAACATTCATAATTTTAATATTAAAATGGATATAAATATGTAAAATAGTATTATCAGCTAAATAAATATGGATGATTTCTAATATTAACATGATAAATGTTTTGAGCTTGAATAGGTGCAAGTATCTTCTTTAATATTTTATTTATAAATATTAAAATTACTATTTTCCCTAATACATTTATTATGTTTTTTTTCTATTTTATATTATTCGTACAAAAAATCCACTCCCGGTTAAACCCGACTAGCAAGTGTGGGGTGGAGGTAATCCTTGTACGCAGCCTTACCCTTGCATAATTGCAAATAGGCTGTTTCCTGGATTCGAACCCATGACCTTTCAGTCATGTGACAATAAAATGGTTGACCAATCTTTTCAATAAGATTCTCCAAACTAATAAGATGCCTAATGCATGGAGGAAAAATATGATTGTGCCTATCTACAAAAACAAGGAAGATATACAGAATTGTTCAAACTATAGAGGTATTAAGCTAATGAGCCATACTATGAAGTTGTGGGAGAAGGTTATTGAGCATCACTTGAGGAGAGATACCAAGGTTTCTGTAAATCAATTTGAATTTATGCCAGGAAGGTGTACCATGGAAGCCATTTTCTTTTTTCTTTTTTTGTAACAATGGAAGCCATTTTCTTGATGCAACAACTAATGGAAAGATATCGAGAAAAGAAGAAGGACTTACATATGGTGTTCATAGACCTTGAGAAAGCATACGATAGGGTTCCAAGAAAAGTTTTATGGTGGGTTCTGGAGAAGAAAAAGGTACCATCAAAGTATGTAAAGGCAATCAAGGATATGTATGATGGGGCTACTACATGTGTGAAAGCTTGTAACGGAACATCAAGTTATTTCCCTATCACGGTAGGTGTACACCAAGGGTCGGCCCTAAGTCCTTATCTCTTTGCCTTAGTTATGAATGAACTAACAAAAGATATTCAAGAGGAAGTGCATGGTGTATGCTTTTTGCATACGATATTGTGCTTATTGATGAGAGCAAGAATGGTGTTAATAGAAAACTTGAATTGTGGAGAAGCACATTGGAATCTAAATGATTCACATTAAGTCGAAGCAAGACTGAGTATCTGAAGTGTGAGTTTTCTCTGGTAAGAGATGTAGACCAAGACCCCGTGCATCTAAGTGGTCAGGAGGTACCCAAGAAAGACGCTTTTAAATACCTGGGCTCCATTTTGCAAAAAGGTGGAGAGATTGATGAGGATGTAAATCATAGAATCAGAGCAGAGTGGATGAAATGACGCAGTGCATATGGGTTTTTGTGTGACCGCAAAATCTCCCTTAAGTTAAAAGGAAAATTCTTTAAAACAGCAGTAAGACCTGCAATGCTATATGGAGCTGAATGCTGGCAGCATATAAGCAACATGAGCATAAAATGGGAATAACAGAGATGAGTTAAGGTGGATGTGTGGTTATACGAGGATGGATAAGATAAGAAATGAAGATATTCGACGAAAGGTGAGAGTACTACCGGTGGCTGAGAAGATGAGAGAACATAGATTGAGGTGGTTTGGGCACGTAATGAGAAGACCCCTGAATGCTCCAGTAAGAATAAAAATCTGTTACCAAGAGCTCAACACAATAAGAGGTAAAGGTAGAGGTAGACCGAAACTTACTTGGGGAAGGTAGTAAAACAAGATTTAATGGAGTGAGATATAGATTGGCGAACGGTATGCCTTAGAACAGAATGGAGAAAAACTATAAGCATGGTGGAGGGTTAGACCCGTTGTTATTCCTATGTTCCAGATGGTCCCTTTTTAGTCCTTTTCCCCTTCATTTCCCCCTCTTCTTCTTTTTCCTTTCTTTTTTACTTATATATATATATATATATATATATATATATATATATATTTATTACTATTCTATTTATTTATTTTTATTTTTACTTTTATGTTTCTTTTTTTCAACCTTTTTGTATCTTTCATTTGGGTTCATTTACCACTGACCTCAATTAATTTGAGATAAAAGTGTTGTTGATGTTGATATTATTCGTACAGATTAATAGGCCTTCTCAAAATATACAATTTTCACATAAAAACTTAAATGTGCCGTAGAAGATAAAATTGATTACATGGCTAGTGATTTGTATGATTGAAATTTAGACTTTTTGAATAATCGAAAATTGATCTAATCCAAATCAAATAAAATTGGATTGGATTAGATCGAAATTTTAAAAAAATTCAAACCGAATGAATAATTAAATTATCAAACCGAGGTGATTTGTTCGGATATTTTTACTTCAAAATCAATCAAATCCAAACCGCGAATATCCTTACCCATAATGGTGTGTGTTCAAATCTTGTTGGCCAATGTGAAGATTTTTTTTTTTTTTTTTATTGGTGGGTGAAATGTAATTCCTCCCAAAAATTCTCAAAAGAGATTGAAGGATTTTTCGTGACCCTAATGGAATATCGATGTCTAGTCTCACTTAAATTTTTATATATGAAAAAATAAAAATCATTTTTAAAAAGTTATAAACAGTTTGGTTTGAAAATCAAACTATTAAAACCGATTCAATTTTCATCAAAAATCGAATTCAATGTGCATCCCTAAAAATAATATATAATACTGTCAAATGAAGACATTAATTAATTTATTGCCTTAAAGTAGATTAATGCCTTTTCATCTCAGGTAAAATTTATTTATTACATTTTTCGTGTAATTTTAGTACCAAAACAATCAAATATACAAAATCCTATGTTCTATAAATTAAAAGATTGAAAATGTTACCCTTCGATCCGAACTAGAACATGATCTCTATAATTTGAAACCTTGTTGACAAGCACCAACCAATCAACCATCCTCCCAAATTTCTCATTTCTTAATCAGGTAGTTGACATTTTTGCAAAAAGATTATGAGATTAATGGTTTTTATTTTATATAAAGTAATTTTATTTTCTACACATATATAAAATTATATGAGATTCATATATATTTTTTTCTTTTTTATTTTCACATGGACGCATATACTTTTATATATGTTAAGAGATAAAATTATCTTCTACAATATAAGAAATATCAATTCCAAAATTTATATACTAAAATTAACAAAAAATATAATATTTTTTTCGTAAAATCAAAAATAATAATTTAATAACATATATTCACTAATTTAGTTATTAAATACTTAATACGTTATAACAATACAGTATACAAATTAATTAATAATTTTTTGGTAGTGAAAAAAAATCTGTAAAAATGTGGGACCAGCCGTTGTCGAAAGCGGTGAGGTGGCAGAAGAGACCAAGAATGGAGAAGATAGAGACAAAGGCAGGGGATCAAATCCCAATTTAACCATGGAGCAGTACAACTTCTTACAATACCGTATTTCTGACACAGAGAGATTAGGCGAAAAATGTGCTAATTTTTAATTTTGTTTCTTTTTATTTTTTAATTTTATTTAATTTTGTTCCAACAACAACATTAATATAAAAAATTAAAAATAGCGTCAGAGACGCCGACGACCAACCAAACCAAGCTCATATTGTCTGTCGACTTTTATCTCTCTCTCTCTCTGGTCGCAGACACGCTACACTAGTCTCTCTCTCTCTCTCTCTCTCTCTTCTTCCATTCTCTCCTCTTTCTGCTTTCTCTTCTCGATTCAACTTCAGCTTCAGGTAAATCCAGTTCTAACCATAGATCGTGCTTTTGCTATTCTGCCTTTGAAGCCACTCCTCTACTTGCGTTTCTTCTTGTTGATTCGCTCACAGGAAAATTCTCTCTGCTGAACATTTCTGAACAATGCGTTCCTTTTATATTTTTTCTTTAACAATTTTTTTTTTATGGCTTGTTTTTGGTTGTTATGTCTTAGTTCTTCTTCATATTCATGGTTAAATTTAGAAGCTTGTTCGGTTATTATTGTTAATTTTGAAGTCTGTTTATGGATGTTATTGAGAACTTGGGGGTTATTTTTGTTGTCGGTGACGGCTGTTTCCTTAGTTGGATCTGAATACAGTTATATAACACCTACGTTATCAAGTTAAATTTAAGATTTATTCATTATTTTCACTTAATTATTGTTCTTTTTTTTAATAATAAAATATATTTAACAAAAAAACTGTGTTTGATGTTTGGATTTTTGATTTTACAATGAAAGGAGTGAGATTTGGGAATGATCAAAATCTTAATTTTTGAGTTATGACAGAATTTTGTAATTGAGAGAGGAAGAGAATGTCAGGTGGCACGCAGAACAGTCTGAGAAAAGCACTTGGAGCTCTTAAGGACACCACAACAGTTTCATTGGCTAAAGTCAACAGTGATTATAAGGTAGAATAATATGCACATACAATATGTTGGATGGGATGTTCTTGGATCACGCAATTTGTGTTTGTACTCAATGGGTTTATTGTGTTCCAGGAATTGGACATTGCTATAGTTAGAGCCACGAATCATGTTGAAAGTCCAGCAAAGGAAAAACATATAAGAGGTTTGTTTTCTCTCTATCTCTCTTGCTTTGTGATTGTTTGTACTAAAATAATTGTTGTTGTCTGTGTACTACCGATTTAATGTTTGTAATATTTGTGTCATGTTTGTAGATTGTAGAAGGAAAAATGTTGGATGAGTTAGGGTTTTGACTCCAAGTATTTCTGTTCTTTCTTCTGCAGCTATATTTTCAGCAATCTCGGCTACAAGACCTAGGGCTGATGTTGCCTATTGCATCCATGCTCTGGCCAGGCGATTGTCAAGGACACATAACTGGGCGGTTTGTGCATCATGTCTTAGATCTTGTGTAAAAGATGGCTGATTACATCTTATCTTTTTTATATGGACATGAAATTTTTTCAATGTATTCACTCAAGGACTGGGAATGTGGAGCTTTTATGAATTTCTCATCTGTTTGCCTATATTATTTATTGCGAAGGTTGATGAAACATTACATCTGTTAGTCGTATTCATGAATTATTCTGTGTCCTCACTTCTGGAGATTGTGGCTTGATCATCACATATGAATTATAGCCAAATAAAAGTGGGACAAAAAAGAATATCCAGATAACTTTTCTAACAAAAATCCGCATGTTTTTAATAATCTTCTCTATCAATAGTATTCAAAAAATGCAACCATTTCATGCATGGCAACTTCTGTAGGTCTGTTGTAAATCGCCACGGAACATGTGTGTGTTTGTGCTGCTTCTATTTGGTTGATTAACAAGTGGTTTATCTTTAGGTTGCTTTGAAAACTTTAATTGTTATTCACCGTGCTCTGAGGGAAGTGGATCCCACATTTCATGAAGAACTCATTAATTATGGGAGAAGTAGAAGTCATATGCTCAACATGGCTCATTTTAAAGATGATTCCAGTCCAAATGGTACCTCTGTCGTTCTCTCCGTCGTTAATTTTAATATCATTTTCATTATTATGTTTAATCGTTTATTGAATTTGTATTTGTCGTTCATTGTTTTTTTGCTCAGCATGGGATTATTCTGCATGGGTCCGCACTTATGCATTATTTTTGGAGGAAAGACTGGAATGTTTTCGTGTGTTGAAGTATGATATTGAGGCAGATCGTCCGGTAAGTAATTTTTTCAAACTTTTATCATTTGTTTTTTAACTTAGCGTTTAAGAATTCAAATTTTTACTTCAACATTAGTAGTTAAATTATATGAATGTTATTTATTAAATAATATTATTCAATAATAATATGATACAAGAAGGCCCTCAGCTGTGATTGCTATCTCATCACATCCTTATATGCATACTTTTGAATGTGGAAAATTCACCAATTGTGAATTTTGTCACAGAGGACCAAAGATTTGGATACTGCAGAATTGCTAGAGCAGTTGCCGGCTTTACAACAACTTCTCTTTCGAGTTATTGGTTGCCAGGTAAGCTTTTGATCAAAGTTGTTCAAGTTAGACGGGGTTTTACCCAAACATTTCACAATGGGTTTGATTTTAATAAAAAAACTTTACAACTTGTTTTAACTTTTATGTGGTGCAGCCACAAGGGGCAGCTGTTAATAACTTTATCATTCAGTTAGCACTGTCAATGGTAGGTCAATTATTTAAACATATTGTATTCTTGGTTAATTTTTGCTTTCATCACCTTTCTGAGCGTAATTTATATTGCAAATAGGTTGCTTCGGAAAGCATTAAAATTTATCAAGCTATTAGTGATGGCACAGTCAATATGGTTGATAAGGTATGTATGGTTATCTATCTTCATTGGATTTGAAGCTTGATGTAAAACTTTCTATGTATTTATGAGACTATTGTGACAGTTTTTTGAGATGCAACGCTATGATGCTTTGAAAGCTCTTGATATATACCGGAGGGTTGGGCAGCAGGTATCTCTTATGGAAAAAATTTCTTTTTCTATTCTTGAATTTATTTATCCAGACAGTTATGTTTAAACCTTCTTTATATGAATCCAGGCTGAGAGACTGTCAGACTTTTATGAAGTATGCCGTAATCTTGATATTGGGCGTGGAGAGAAATTTGTTAAAGTTGAGCAGGTCCGTTGGATCATATCATGCTTGTTTATGCCAATGACATTTTAGCTCAGTTTTTCAATAATTTTAATGAAATATAATACTAAGTGAATTAATTGAATGATATGAAGCCACCTTCATCATTTCTGCAAGCCATGGAAGAGTATGTCAGAGATGCTCCCCAGGGATCAATAGTTCGCAAGGATCAGGTATGGATGAACATCAAGTGCTCTGTTTTATTATGATATGGTGGTTTCTGTGCTTTATGTTATGGATGCAATCATAAAGAGCAAGTTTATATTTAATACACATCTAGTTGACATGGTAGGCACAAACTGAAACAGGAAAAGATCTTGTTGGCTATCTAACAGTTTAGAAAAGCGTCTCCAAAATTTATTTTACAAACCAATGCTTACATTTTAATTAAAAGCAGGTGTCTGACAACAAAGCGTCTCCAAAAGAAGTATTGGCTATTGAATACAAAAAGACACCAGAAGTGCAGCAGGAACTTCCAGCCTCACCCCCTCCACCTCCAGTTTCTGAACCTGTGAAAGTGGAAGCACCACCAGTACAACCACCACCTGATCTGTTGGTAATTACTACGTTTTCTTTTTTCTTTCTGTGCCCGGTTTTTGCTGTAGTTCAGATTGCTGACTGGCTCCACTGGTAATGCTTACCTGTAACAATGTTGCTTTAGCTGCACTCACGATTCTCTTCCTTTTGGCTTGCTAACTAGAATATGGAGGATCCAGCTCCAGCTGCTTCAGAATTGGAAGAGAAGAATGCCTTGGCTTTAGCAATCGTTCCCATCGGTAATTTGTTTTACCTTTTCCTCCATTTTGTTTAATACATTGAATAAAAGCTTGTTAATCTGCAGTTGTGAACCTTAAAAAATAATTAACAACAACAATTGGTTCATAGAAGTGGACTTTGGTGGCAGTAAAGGTTAAAATGTTCCATTTGATATTTAGAATGGATGTAGGCATATGTCTTGGTGTCAATTCATATGATGTCTTGTTAATGGTGGTTTCAGCAGATCAACAACCTTCTGCTGTTTCAAATCAAGCAAATGGAACTACAGGATGGGAATTGGCACTTGTCACGGCTCCTAGTTCAAACGAGACTGCTGCAGCAGCTAGCAAACTGGTATGCTTTCTTATACAGTAGTAAACTCAATTTACCATTCTGTTAAGCTCACATAATTTGTGAGTACAAATCTATCTCTCAACATGTGTGTATGCATCTGTGTAAAGACACAGAAAACCCTTTGCATGCTTTTGTTATTCTGATAATGAGTGATGATCTATTGGGTAATCAGGCTGGAGGTTTAGACAAGCTTACACTAGACAGCCTATATGATGATGCACTCAGGAGAAACAACCAAAATGTTAGCTATAATCCATGGGAGCCAGCGCCAGTGGGAGCCATGATGCAACCAACAATGCATGATCCATTTTTTGCCTCTAATACAGTGGCTGCACCACCTTCTGTTCAGATGGCATCAATGTCCAACCAGCAGCAAGCTTTCATGTTTCAGCAGCATCAGCAGCAGCAGCAGCAAATGATGATGATGGCCCCTCAACAACCATCTGTAAATCCTTTTGGAAATTCTTATGGAGCCACTGTCCACCCCTATGGCTCAGGTATGCCTGTTCAATCATACAATCCATATACAGGCCTCATCTAGACATTACTTCTGGTAAACAAATCCTTAATATGCTCAAGGAAAAAGAAACACGGATATTCGAGATTGGGAGACACAAAGAATAGACAGACTTGTATCATATGTTGTGAGGGTGCCATAGATAGCTAGAGTGAAATTCTTTTTGAATAAATAGCGGAGGGAGGGTTTTGAATATATGATTTTTTATGTACAAGGTAATTGATAAATCAGACCACTTAGGATTTCTTTTATCCCTGATTGATTAATGTTAACGCTTTAGCACGAAATTTGTTCTTGAATAATATTGTTTTTCAGTTGCCATTACCTATCTATTGTGGGAATTATATTCATTATGTGATTGTTATACGGCATTCATCCAATGAAAATAAGTCAAGACTGAGAACTGAGTCTTTTTGGTGTGGGAACAATTTTTTCTTCATTGCCATGTGTAACGTGTTATTCTGTTAGAGGTTTCTACAAGTATTTAATTTATACTACTATTTTTTTTCTCGAAGGGTGAATTAAAATCCTATAGAAGTTGTTGTGAACTAGCAATGCTTTTTTCTTGTTTGTTAGAAACTAATAAAGGTGTAACTTGTTCTTCCTTAATAAATTTCATTTCTCTTTATCAAACTGGGATACTCCCTTGGAGACTAGGATGTTGTAACTACGCAAGCGACACTAATGATAAGTCGTATAAAATTTTAGGTTTCTGTATGCTCCATTTTGTTTTCCCTGCTAAATGATGCGTTGGATGTTCAAGTCTTGTGAGAATTATAGTTAAATAATGTGCGGACAACATATGAAGAAAAAAACTAACCAAAAGTGTCACATGGTTATAACACAATTAATCGTTTTCTTGGTTAAGGTAGCCAAACAAAAACTAACCAATAGTGTCACATGTTGCCATGTTGTGTTGGGGTGGTGGCGCCGCAAACAAAATCTTTACAATCATTTTATCTGTAAGAAATCAACTTTTCATACTATAATTTCTCAATCCTTTCATGATACAACTGTTTATGGAAAATATAGAACTGTATGCACATAAATGACGCTTGGTAGAGGGCAGTGACTAAAGCAAAAACAATGAATATTAAGTTGTCAACTAGCACAGTTAGCCCTTGAAGTATTTATTTTTAAGCCTAGCTTCTTTTGCACATCAAGGTTTTATTATTTTAATTTAGTCCATTTCGTATTCCTGTTTTCTCAATAAATTTCTTCTTCATCATCAAGTTTGATAGTTTATTTGAAGTAAAGAATCCTTACCACAGTATGGATTACCAAAACCATTTAAGAATAGAATCCGCTTTCAAAGAATTTTCATTAGCTGCAATGAAAAATAGCATTACCACGAGGTACAAAACTAAACTTTCTTCTCACAAGACAAATGAGTTCACCCTTTAGTCTCTATTTTTTCCATAAGATTGTTTCTTGCTCAGTCTACCTACCTATACTTCATTTTAACGATCACTTAATCTTGTATTAAAAGTATTAAAAAGTGGAATGTGCGCAATGAATAAATAAATAAAAGGTTGTATCACATTTTTTTTTATCTTACATTTGAGGGAGATAATAATTTATTGTTTCGTATCTCTATGAAACTAGAAAAGTGTTAGGAGAGCCATGACACCCTTTGTCGAGCTTAAACATGTGCTACTTACTAACAATATACCGAATTTAAACTTATTTTGGGAACAATAGTTAATGAATAATTATAGTTATATATACAGAATCAGATATTGTTTTTTTAGTAGTTTTAGGTTTACGGTTTAATCCCATATGCTATTTTTTTTAAACTTCGTTTGGAATAATTATTATTTGTAACATAACAAACATTAAAAATATATAATTTTTTTACATGTCGATATTTCTGTTATATTCCAAATTTTTTGTTGAAAATATGTAGGTGATTTTTTATGGTAGAGAGTGATTGTTTGAAGGATAAATTAAAAAGATAAACACAGCATCAAACGGCAATGAACTATAAACAAACATTAAATCAAATTTTCTTAAAATTGTTCAATACTAGCCTGTGTGGCCGTATAACCCGTATTAAAATTGATTCGAAATAATTAATATAAAAAGTTCTTCTACGTAAAATAATTTTCATCGCGATTATAGTCTTATATGACAACTACATTATTCAATTTTGACATAAAGGTAAATATTTAGAGCTTCATATACAATTAGAAATTAGTAATAAATATTATTCTTAATGTTTTTATTTAAGTAAGTGTACCGGAGAAATACAGTGTGTATTTTTCAAGTAAGTCGTACGACAACGCTTTTGATGTAGGTGATGGTGATTGCAATAAACATTCAATAATGATGTCTATTCCCCCGTATAAAAAATTGATAATAGTATTTCTCAGGAGTGTAAAGGTTACGCATTGGTTCAAACAAGAGCAAGTAACCATGAAAGTGCAGTTGTGCGGTCAACAACAGACACATTAATACGCATTGCTCTCAGTTTTACAGTTGCGGTGATCATTTCAATTTCCATCAGTCAATCGTTTCTCAATTAACTTTACTTTTTGATTGTAATCCCAAAAACATTTTTTGTACCATATTATTTATAAAGTTTCATTATCATCGTAATTATATAACGTCCATTTTTTTTTTAAAAGATATAATTTGATTCGCTGTTTTCATCATCATGATTGCAACATTTTCAACTTAAGATAAAGTTATTTGAGAGGTCAAATTGTCTCTTATTAAAAAGAGTTTCATTTTAATGCGGGTGAAGTATTAGTCTAATCCTTTTTTTTGTTGACATAATTCAATGCATTTGCTATTTCAAAATAAGGAGTTAGTCATTTGGATCGTACTTCAAGGATAAAGTGGCCGGAAGATGTTAAATTGGGATAATGGATTTCTTAAAAAAGAAAAATAAAAGAGTTTCATTTTTTTATACGCAATTTCATTTAAGGGAAATCAGTCTGTTACGTTGTAGAAATGATACTGTTTCATCTCGTAACAAGATTTGATTTCGTATCCTGAATTTTTTTTAAAATTTGAGACCACACTTAATTTATGTAAGGATATAATACGAGAGAAATAATTTTTCTAGACACACAAAAATGGGTGAGTCCCACTACTTTTTTTTTCTCTTCTCTTAGTTGTGGGTTTCACTTATAATTTTATTTTCATAACATGAGAATACTATTTTCAAATATTTCCTATTTATGTATGCAGGTAGTGAGATGACAAAAAACAAACCTGCTTTAAATTTAGTTTGTGTTGAAATGAAACACAAAAGGGTAATACTTTTCTCATGTTGTAGGGGATAATAATTATTTCTTACTGACTTGTTTATATAAGTGAGGTTCACTTTTAAGGGAAGAGAGAGAAAAAGTAAAGTGAGACCCATTTTAAATTTGTGTGTGTAGAAGATAAGTTTTTTCTTATGTAACATAAGAATAAAGTCCGTTTGGATGAACTTTTTTTTCTCTTCAAAAGTTATTATTATTTTTTTAAAAAAAGCACTTCTCGAAAGAAGTCTGTTTGGATGCCTGCTTTTAAAAAAAGCAGAAGTCATAAAAAAAAGCCAAAAACTTACTTTTTTTCAGAAGTTAAAATTTTTAGCTTTTACAAAAAAGCAGAAGTCAGAAGTCAAATATTTTTTTAAAGATCTAAACAACTGTAACTTTTATAAAAAGTACTTTTAAAATAAAGAAGTGATAAAAAAAATTTTAAGTGAATACAAACAACAATCCCAACACAAAAAGCTAAGTTTCAACTTTTAAGCCTTCTAAGTTTTATCTCTCTCTCATAGTGAGTCTCCATGTTCTCTTCCTGAACCCTTCAACTGGAGTTAACTCAACCACTTCCTTTGAATCCCCAAAGCTGCTACGTACAATTAGCAGCAGAAAAAAAAAAAAAAAAAGCATAATTACTTTAATCCAAACGAATAATAATAGCAATTAAAAAGAAAGAGAAAGAGAATGTCTTGGCTCTTCAAGTCCAACCACCCTGACCCTGAATCTTCGCACCTTCACCGCACCGTTACCAACTCCTCTTCGCCGGCTGTGCTGCCGCTCACCACCGCCGATCGCCACGGCGTCAAGGACGACATATCGCTTATTTTCCGCGGCGTCGCCAACTTTCTCGCTCCACCGCCATCTTCTTCTTCTTACGCCGGCGATTCCTCGTCTTCGCAAACTCTCGCCGGAATCCGGAACGATCTCGTGGAGATCGGCGGAAGCTTCAAGAGCTCGCTCTCCCTTCTCTCCTCGAACAAAGCCGTCACCGGAATCTCGAAGATCGCTTCTCAATTGTTGCAGTTCGAGCCTGATCAACAGCGTGTTGATGGTGATGCGGTGCCTGGTACAACGGAGGATGTTGTTCGTTTCGTGAAGGAAATTTCTACGCGGCCTGGGTGTTGGACCGAATTTCCCTTGCCCCTCCATAATGGTACTTCAAGTTTGCTTCGATGTATAATTTTCTTTTTTATTATCTGTTAATTTTTCTGATTATGTTCCTCTCTTTTCTCAATTGAATCTGTATAATCTGATTATGATAAAGTCTGTAATTGCTTAATTAGTTGATTGTAGCTTGTCCTCTTAATTTAACCCTGCTTTGATCTCGCGAGTCATGTTTGTTTGAAGTAGTTTTTTCTTCTTCTTTTCTTGTTAAGCTTATAATTTCCTTTGTAACGAGTTATTTGTTGCATCCACGATACCCTAAAAAAATGAAATTGCTGGTGGCTACAATTGGCATAGCTTATGATTATATGTTATTTCATAAATTAATATGAACCCTGACTAAGTTGAATTTAGTAGAGAGAAATGGATTGTAATGATTGCATAGTTTATGATGCTCTACTGGAAAGTACTGTCTCCTGCCAAGATGGGAGGAACGCAGGACATATCAAATCCTATGTACATTTTCTTTTTGTCGCAGCCATACCTCTTTCAGAAATTTATACTGGTTTAAACTACTGACAAAGATGATTGCTAGTGGCCATACAATACAGTAACTAATACTTTCAGACTATGAACTAATAGCTTATTTTGTATATCAAATCAAATCCTGTTGTTGAAAAATCTCAGCCAATAAGGGTTAAGCTCAACTTGTAAGATCGAACAACAATGTCAACAAAAAGGTCCTGGGTTCCATTCCTACCGGTCATTTGTTAGTACCATGGTAAGTTTTCATGGAGGCTTGTGGCATGCCCCGGGCAACCTCTCCTCCCCCTAAACTTTTTCTTACCTAATAAGGAAAACAAATCTCTACTATTTTCTTTATATATGGAAGATCCAATGTGTTGGGTTTTGGGATACATCACTTTGTGGTCCATTTTGTTTATTGTTAACTAATTGGAGGAAAGGGAAGCCCCTTAGACAAGTCTCCGGTGGGATAGATTACCATGGCTGTTGAACTTTTATGCTTGGCATGGTAATGATGGTACATGAGATAATGCTTAAAGTCAACTCATAGACTATCTAAAAATAAATGGGATGTGGATTCATGTAAATTTTATTAAGGAAGTGACTTTAAATGATCTTTTTCTTTTGGCATTTTATTTATCATACTTGGCTATAGATCTATTTGTTATGTAGCTTATAAGCTCACAAAGTTAATATTCAAGGGTCCAACAATTTTTAGGAAGCATTGAAGCATCGTTTCACTCATTTTATCATATATCATGGAAAATTCTAACTTTTGCTTGTTTATGTATTTTGTGTGGCATTCTACAAACAACTGCTGCAATGCACCTTCAGCAATAAATGATTTCAAAGAAATCATTCCTGTACTGATTCTAGTTTACACTCCCTGTCAATATGAAGTCCATAGTACTCGTGTCCTTCTGAGCATATCTCTAGTTTAACTCATGCAAATGCTCTTTGAGTAAAGTGGTTCTGAATCTTGATTTTTCAGATAGCATGAATACAAGAAACCAAAACGCACATTTTTCTTTATTTTTATTCTACTTATATAGAAATTTGACTTGTTTCAGCAGATTTCAGCATGTCCAATTCTCAGAGAGAACATGCATTGGCTATAGAACGGATAGTGCCTGAATTTGTTGCACTAAGACTGAACCTTTGCAGTTACATGAATGTGGAAAAGTTTTGGATGATCTATTTTTTGTTAATACTTCCAAGATTAAATCAGCATGATTTTGAGCGTCTATCAACCCCCAAGGCAAGCCATGTTTATTCCATATTGTCTTATTTTCAATTGATTTGCGTGAATAGCAAGGCCAACTATATGTTGAATTCCTTCATGCTAATGCAGTTGATTAGCTGATTGAAGCCACATTTTGATTCTGTATTTATCTGAATTTTTTTCATGCATACTTGTCAGATTCAGTCATTATACTCTATGAAATGTGGTATCTGTACTTTTCATCGTAGATGTTTGTGACTTACAAAACCCTTAATTGTTGCACGCCGAACATGTATAATACACGTCAGTAATAAAAATCTGTTCTAGCCAGGAGAATGCAAAGCACTATAAATGAAGCATTGTGCTAATCAAAAAACCTTTGTAATATTATCTCAATGAGAGATTATGCTTTATTCTATTTCTTCAAGCTTAGTTGAAATGCTCCTTTAGTTTTCTTCTTCTTTATTGCCAGTCTCTCATGGTATGGTTATCTTTTTGATAAAATATCATAGATCATGGCCAGAAGTTTCTTCTGTAGTTTTAGTATTTGCTCTTGTTTATTTTATAGCATTCTGTCCAGATGTTATGGTGTATATTAAAAATTTTCAGATTGTTTGGTCTATTGCACCCAACATTTATGTGATTGAAGATAAATTTATAGATAATTATTTCTTTTGCTCTATGTTTATATGTTTGGGTGGCATCATTCTCTAAATGTCTGCTATATCATGTATATGTTTTTCCCTTTTTATTTTTGCTCAGATTGTTGAAGCAAGAGAAATGCTTCTGCTTAAACTTGAAGAGAGAAAAAATTTGCAGGCAGGAGAATGTGAAAAACCAAGGACTGTGGATACATATCAAGAGGGTAGGGAGGACAGTGGAACAGGAAGTATCTCATTTGAGGACAACCAGATTTTGACTGAGGTTACAAATGCTGTGAAGGGTTTAGAAGTTGATGACACGATTAGTACTGAAAAATGGATGGAAGATACAGATATTGATGCTACTTCATTGACTTCCTGTACAAAACTTCAACAGGAAGAGGACGTTTCATTCAGTGACCTAGAGGATGATGTAAGTTATAGTTCTGATAAATTATCAGGCCATAGGGAGGCACAGGACATCAGGGGTTCATCACCTGATGGTTCAAGTGACTGGGTTCAGCTGCATGAAAGTTCTGAGAGAGGTGGCTGGCAGAAGGCTCGTTTAAAAGGTAAGGATTCGGAAGATGAGTCAAATGAGTGGCTCGCTGTTGATGAGTTTAATTAGATAGGCTTTTTAAAGCTGTTGTGAAGGTTCAATATTTTTCCCTTATCGACGGTTCCGTATTTAGGGATTAGAAAATCATATAGTATTTCTTTTGATATGCATACGTACATATTTTTTGTTTGTCCAAGGCTAATGTTTGGCATCGGGTAAACCTCATTCATTGTGCTGAAATGTGTACAATGCAAACAAAATCAAGGATTTCAATAATTATATCTTAGTATCTTACATTCATGTGATCAAAGTGGTGCTTGCTTACATTAATGCCAATTAATCCCTTTCACTAAGTTTAACTTCAGGATAGCAGTAAAATAGCTTGACTTTTGTTTTAAAAATGTCATTTCTTATTGAAAAGGTGATTAGGGTTTATTGAAATTTTACAATTATAACAAAGATATAGCTTTTTAACTTTCCTCGCTATTCATCTTTAACATGGGAAAGAAAACATTCTTCCTTTTCATCATGCTCTTCAAAACTTCAAAACTTAATCTTAGAAAAACAATAAGAAGTGATATTCTAACTATCAAAATTTTCTACTATCAATTTACTACCTATCTAATCACCGTTAGATTAATATTTTCTCTTTCTTCAATTTTTTTTAAACATTCTCTCTCTTTGATCCAACAGTGATGTGATAGGTAGTCAGTTAGTAGTGAGAGTTTTTGGTAGTTAGAATATCTTCACTCAAAAACAATAGAATCAAACAAAACAAAGAAATTTAAAAACAACGTCGCCATGTTACTACAAAAGCCTACTGCAAAAATTTAGAAGATAATTTCAGGATACTTCTTCTTTATACAAAGAACTATGATATAATTGTTAATAAGAGTTGTTTTAGACCTAGCATTCATTAAATTGTTAAAATTTAATTAGGGTTGCTGAATATTCGGCCTAGCCTAAACTCCTATAGGCTAAGCTAGCACTACTAAAAGTTAAAAATGAAAATTCTTAAATGTTTTTAATTCTTCTCTGATTTTATTTTTGGTAAAATTATTTCCTGATTTAACTAAAAGATATTCTTAATTAATTTTGTTAAAATTTATTAAAAAGTTGAAAATATTTAAAGAAACTCAGTACAAAGTTTTTTTTTTTTTGGTGACAACTCATTACAAAATTAATAGTTCACTAATTAGGTTTAGAAATAAAAACATTGCTGAATATTTTTTAGATGATCCATGAAATAGTCTAGCCGAATCCAATCTATAGCATAAATGGGTCTAAAAATTTGGGCTATAAATATTTTAAGATCACCCCACTATTTTACACAAGTCATCATCACCTTGGCTTACTTTTAGGGGGTGTTTGGTTCAAGTTTTTGGAGAGGATTACTGGTAATCCTTCTTTAGTAAATGTAATTACCACGTTTGGTAGAAGGAATAAATTACGATTCCCGGATATCCAAGGATTACCGGTAATTTGATTTATAAAGAAAAGTCACTATTCAGATTACCAAAAATAATATGGTAATTCGGAATACCAATCAGAATACCAAGTAAAGGGAAAGCACAACAATAAATTTTGAGACAAAAATACCCCAATACACATAAAAATCTAGACCCAATCTATCAATTACAAAAGTAAAAATAGTTTGGGGTTATTTTTGTAAAATAACCTCATATTCCAAGTCATATTTCGTTCTAAACCAAATATGGAATCAGTAATTTTTACCCAGTATTCCCGGTAATATTTTGGCGAACCAAACACATCTTTCGTAAGATTCCAAGTAAACTCAATTTCTACTGAATTCCCATTAATCATGATTCCCGGTCACCAAAAAATTTCTCCTGTACCAAACACACCCTTACGGTTCTAACTTTAAGGAATATTGCACAAGGGACCTAGTCTAACCATTACACATCATTGCCTTGTTAAAATAAGAAACAAGTTCTCCCCCCTCTGATCCCAAAAAAACACCCAAAAATAATAATAATGCTGAGTCAATGCTGTGAGGCAAACCTTTACCTATTATTATCTCACATATTAACCAAATCCTTACGTACCTACTAGCAAAACAAAAGAGTCAAACTTTCTTTCTTTAGATACATGTTTAATTGGGAACCCATAGATTTGCTTTATGTGTTGGATCTTATTGGTATTTAGAATAGAAGCCTATCGTTTCCGTCATTAACTCTGCATGGCTATCAGGCTATGCAATATGCTACTAGTTGGCTAATATAAGGCCCAAGTCATGAGTGGCACTGTGGCAAGAACAGGTAAAACCTTTGATGCTTGATTTAAGAATGTAACTAATATGATAAAGAAGAAATTGAATTTGCACATTTCAAATAATATAGGGAAAAACTATTCTTATGTCATATAACATAAGTTTTCTTTCCTACACTCCATTCGATAATTGTGCCATCTTTTTTTTTTTTTTTTTTTTTTCAGGTGGTGGAGCCTACTAATTTGTCTCTATGACATGAGATAACTATCTCCTTTAACATGAGATTGATAAAACTCAATAATATAATATGTTATGATTATATTCCTTTTTGGGTTGACCCAAATTCCCATTCATAACATAGTAAGCAGTACAACGATCTGATAAAAAAAGTAGTGCAAAAATAATAATTGATAGTTAACCTTCAGAGCTTATCTCCAGCAAGAAGCCAGCAAGGGACCATGGCAGATAAAGGCGAGTAAAATGTAAATGAGAATGGCGAAAAATATAATAAGTGCAACCCTGCATGAAGAAGAAAAAAGCCCCTCGGGGTAAGAAATTGAGACGATTTAAAACCCAAATTTTTTTTTTTTTTTAAAAAGCCAAATACAATTAATTATTCTATTCACATATTCAGGCCATAACATATAAAGGCATAGCAATTGGTATACTTACGTTAACCTAACGTTACTCCACCACAAGTTATTTTTATAACGGCGTGATTGCCTTTTGAAACGAATTGAATTACTGTTCATTGCAGAAGTTTTCTCAACCAGAAGTTCCAAGCGGCCACCTCTCTCCAACACTTTTTCAATGTTGTCAATCATGACAGTTCTTACCTATAATTATCACATTACAAGTATTAAAATAAGAGGAGAAAGTATGTAACGTTACCTTAGAAATAATGTTATGTAATGTTGATCAAAACAATATTGTTTTAAGGTTGAAAAATTAAAAAATTAAAATGATACAAACTATTATAATTCTGAAGTAAATTAAAATTATAAATATATTATAATTTTCGTCTCAAAATGACGTAAATATTAAACAAAGTTGTCTAAAATAATTTTAGAAAAATCCAACCCTTAAAATAATTAGTCTTATATTACATATTAATGGATAGGAGTTTAATAAGTGTCGAGTCAAAACCAAAAGAATCATAAGGTAAATTAAAATCATTCAACCAACTAGTTTCTAAAGGATCAATCTATAGGAGTCAACTGGAAACATTTAAAACAAAAAATTAAAGATAAGCAAACAAGTTATAGGAACAAAATGCAGATAATCCATTGAACTTGCCTGAGTCATTTCACCTTTGAGACGGTTCAATCTGTCAGCATTTGGGTCATTGGAGTAATAATCCATCTGTTGACTCAATACCCTTGAGAACTCATCATTCATGGCATAGGCAGGAGCTGAAAGAATTGCACGAGCATATGTCTTCACAAATTTGTTATGAATATCTTCTAGAAATGCATAAGGAATCATTCCTGCAGTGATTGAAACAGGAGATTTATTGCAACTCATTTAGGGATTACAAACTTTTGTGTACAACAAATCAAGCAGGAACATTTATTTTTATTTTTAATTATGAACAGTTTGACTAAAACTTTGTAATAATTTATTCTGATCTCCCGAGAAAACATATCACAAAGTGATCTCAACTATGCAGTCATGATCTCGAGATCATCTTCTGTACATCTGTCATTCAACAAGTGATATTTGAATAAAAAAAATATTTTTTTCTCTTTTTCATATAAGCATGATAATTATTCCTATTTTTTATTGGATAGATGCACTAAGTGAATATGATACACCAGTAGTACATAGATATTTCCCATATCTCATATTACAAAAAAAATTTCTCTCTATTTCGTCAAATCCATAAAACCAACGAGTAATAGCGCCACATCACAAAGAAAACAGAGCATATGGATAAAAATTATTTTATTCCATACACCAATCCAAACACAAGCAATGCAGAAAAGACGAAAATTTTCTTTTGGGGGGCAAAGAAGAAGACCAATGAATGAATGAATGAGATGAGTCTTACTTCCGAATGCATCATCAGCCATACAAAGAACAGTGAGGCCATCGGTTCTCTTGACATGAAAAACGTAGCGATCATGGGAATAGGAAATGTTTGTATCATTGTTGTTATTAGTCCCTTGATTCATCTTGCTCAATATCTGTTTGGCTACCACACTTGCATTACTCTGGGTGGCGCTGAACTCGGCCAAAACCACCAGCCCCCGAGCCACCATTCCATACAATATCCCCATTGATGCTTCAAAGCATGTAACTTGGTTAATTCTGGAGTGAAGGGTGAAAACTTTGAAAGGCTATGGCAAGGGAAGTTGTTTTAGATGGAGAGAAAAGTGTAATAGATTTGGTTTTGGAGGAGGTGCACCAACAACACCAACACCAAACCAACACCAAGAAGAGAAAAACAAAGTGTTCATTTTGATCTGATTAGATGTCCAAAAATGGGTGGTTTTTTGGGGTAAAAGGACAGTCTGGAAGTTGAAAAGGAAGCTCTGCCTCTACCCTTTTTTATGTATATCATCGCGTTTTCGGTGCCACCAAAATTGGCGCAAAACATGGAGATCCTACTTCCAAGGATAAACAGTTGTAACTTAATTGTAAGAACAATATCACTCACTATATCTGGTATTGGGTTCATCGAATCGGCAAAAAGATTTGTGCCACTGATAATTTTTTACTAGGATTCGCATTCAGATTCTAATTTTTTTTTCAAAAAAAAAGAAAAAATATCAATATCCGCATGCAGATTCTAATTATAGTTTTCAACGTCCTATAATTTCGTGAATGAAAAACCATTGATAGGAAGGTTGGCATCGACACGAGGCGTCATAACAGTTCTTAGATTAAAAGTAAGCCTTACTCATGTTGTGTTGGCTTAAATTTTTCAGCATTAAAGCCAACACTAAAATTTTGTATTCCAAACATTCCTGCTAGTTGATCTCTTATCCTCAAGGAACCTCGTACAGTCCCTTGAATCTTACCACCCTATTATTATAAAAAGGAGAACCCATAAGCAATGTTTAATAGTTGTAGGAATTAAAAAAAACTAATCTGCATGAGAGAAGTGCGTAACAAAACTCAAATGTTTATCTATTAAAACCATCTCGACACTGTCTCCCATGGTCGATGAAAGTTGGGCGGCCTCTAGAGTCTAATATCCTTAACTTTGATCCTCCATTGCTCTTTAGATGATGTCAGATCACGGATGAGATCAAATCTCGTAGCCACTTCAACAGATATTGAAACACAAAGTATGACCAGCAAACAGATGGATCTTTTCTATTTAATAAATAAGAACGAGTCAGCCATGAGTCAATCTCATATCATGAACCAAACTTGGGAAGGAAAACTTCAGCTATTGCTAACTCATTTAGTTTCTGTTGTTCATTTAGTTTTTGTTTTTCATTTAGCTTATGTTTCTCATTTAGGGCATTTAGCTTTCGCTTTTCATTTAGTTTCTGTTTTCATTTAATTTTCGTTTTTCATTTAGTTTCTGTTGTTCATTTAATTTCCATCTTTCATTTAGCTTCAATTTTTTCATTTAGTTTCCTTTTTCATTTAATTTTTGTTTTTCATTTAGTTTAAGTTTTTTATTTAATTCCCATTAAGGGTATATGCTATTATTATATTTATTAATTTATTATTACTATTGTTATCAACCGGTTAAGTGTTAAAACGAATCTGGTTCATGGGGTCTAAAGTGGCATTTTTGTCCTCTAATGACTTCTCTCTTCTAGTAATAAAGATATTAAGGTGACTTTCATTTAATAGTCTCACCTTTTAGGTGAGATGATTCTTTATTATGGTATTAGAGCCACTGACCAAGTGGTCACGAGTTCGATTATCTCTGTCTCTTTATTCTAATAAATATATGTGATTGTGTAATTCTTTTAACATAGATAGATGAGTTTATGCATTATTCATTTTTTAAACCCAATAAACTTTTGTGCGGGTGGGAGTGTTAAAGAAGTCAATATAAAATCATTAAAGTGACCTTCACTTATTTGCTTGAGATTTTAAGAGAGAGGATCAGTTGTGAAAATAAGATTCGAGACTAGAGGATGTGTTTGAAAATGTTGAAATACTTAGGAATGCAAAAACAACAAATGGAAAGAAATTAAGATGAAAACAGTACAAGCAAAAAATGATTTTTGATCATACTACGGTCTTTAACAAAAATATTCTTATTTAATTCGGTTTTAGAACAATTATTCAAACTAATACGGTCAATTCAGCATGTTGATAGTACCGGACAAGTCTTGCATGTCAACGACATAAGACATGTAGTTGTCATATGTAGAAGTCTTGTATGTTGACAATACAGGACTAATCCCGCATGTTATTATTTGCATAAAACTTAAGTGCCTTTTTGCTTACATGCGAGAGTAGTCCTGTATTGTCATTTGTGAAAATGTGTGTTATGTCAAATGAAGCCACATGGCACAATCTTGACCGCGGGTTGCACCTACCACTAAGTCTCGCATGCCAAACATGCAAATCTTCCAAAATGATGGTATGTGGCCCAATCCTGACCGTCCACCGTACCAACCCCCTTCCCTAACCTCTATATATCTCCCCTCAACCATTTCAATATTTCATTGCATTCTGAGTCACCATCTCTATATCCCCATTTGATTCTTTTGCTATAGTCTCAAAAATGAATTCAAGTATGCAAAGAATTTGTGTTGTTGTTTACCATAATAGTGGTAAATTTGTAGATCCTGGTGGTGTAATATTCATGCATTCGATGAATTGAAGTAGAAGATTCACCGAAAAAATGAGGCTCCAACAAAATTGATTGATTTCTCATATGACGGCTAAAGTTCTAGTTAACACTCGCAAATATATAAGTATGCCAACATCTAATGATGAAGATCCGGAAGTGATGCTCAAAGCATTTGTTGATTAGTCTAAGATAAAATTCATTGAGTTGTACGTGATATTGATATAACTGATGATTTGTCAATGTTGATTCGATCGCTAGATCTTAATAGTCAGCCACAATATCTATCCCCATTTGCACCTCAGCATATTCAAATGAAGGCTAATGATGGAGTTGAGGGTACCAAAAATCGTCTGGTGATACTAAAATACCAAGTCATATATTCAGGGTGTAGGACACAATGCCCTCCCATAATATCTGAGCTTATGCGGCCAATTCTCCATCATTTTACCATGAAGAGTAAGGTCATGCACACCCTAAAGTTGACTAGGATCACCCGGTATGTGATGCTCCATCTCAAACTGTTGCATAACTTGGTTAGGCTGATGCATCTCAATAATATGATAACAAACTAACGGTGTGATGACCCTCCATAATCTCTGTGTCTCCTCAAACACACCAAGGAAATTGTAGCCCTTGTAAGGCTACCATACAATCTCGAACAAAATAAAAAGGCAAGTTGTATATAATGTGAGAGTAATAATATGCAAAATAGAATTCAAATCCAATTTCTGTTATACATACATCATCTCGACCCATCTGGGCAAAGGTCAATCAATAGTGACTTAAGTCATCTGGCGATACGGGCTGGAAACTGATTAAACCTAAAATAAATTAACCAAATAACCAAGATCAATATATGAACTATACAGAAACAAATAGCATACAAAATATAATATAATCTCATCATATCTTGGTCTGAAGTGATCATCTAGATGGTTGGGGAGTGGCATGCCCGATGAGATAGGGGGAATTGACTCTAGGCCCATAATTGCAATAGTGTAGAGCAATCACCCATGTCCTTTATTGTGAAGGCATTCACCTGACACAATTCCTTGATTAAGGGTGGCATGCACTACCGAGCCCCAACTATATGCGGGAGTAAGCTCAAAATTCCTTTTCAAGAAATCTATTTAACTGTTAGAAAATAATATAAAACCATTAAAAAGACCTTCACCCAACACCTTAAGATTTTGGGCTGAAATAGTTCTTTATATGGTATTAGGGTTTTAGTGACCACAAGGTCACGAGTTCGATCCCCACTGCCTCCCACTTTCTAGTAGAATTAAAATAAGTACAAGGTAAACCAAAAATTGGGTTTGTGTAATATACATGCTTCAAGCCCAAAGGACTCTTACGTGAAGGGGTGTGTTAGAGAATAATATAAATCATTTAAAAAGTTTCTCACCCAACACCTTAAGATTTTTAGTTGAAATAGTTCTTTATATGGTATCAGAGGCTCAGTGTCCGTAGTTTGATCTTCGTCCCCCTTGTGTTAATTGGGAACATCCAGATCCCTCTACAACTTGCCTAATCTTCAACCTGGAACGTTCATCGTTCCAAACCGTCTTTGATATATGAGTGTTTTGCATATCTTCACTAAAAATCAGTCACCAATGTGGCCAGAACCCCCAGCTGCCATGTTGCTAATTATAAATATTTAACAAATTAATTACTACATAAATTATTGGTTATATAACAAGAATTATTTTATAATTATTAAATTTGAATGCCTAGCTTATTGTCACTACATCATTACTATCTTAATATCATTACACAACCTAAATATATAATCATTATTATCACGTACTAACTTAATATGACTACACTAAATACAACCTAAGTTATCTTAATGTTGGCTTTTTTACCCTTATAACCCTTTATTATTAATTAATTACCGATTTGACCTTGATTATAAACTATTTCAAAAATTTAACCCCTTCAGAAAACATAACACCAATCTGCCCCTGTTTGACCGTTGACCACCAAGCCTACCCGGGTACACCCCTCTGTACCCGGGTATTTTTTGAAAATTTCTGTCTACCCGGGTAGGGAGGCGTGTACCCGGGTATTGTTCTTCGCACCTGAGAAATTGCTTGAATTATTTACCCGGGTAGAGAGGGGTGTACCCGGGTAAATCTTCAACCACCCGGTATGATTACTCTTTGGATCTCCCATGCACTCTTCTTCTCCAAGCTTTGAATATGGAGGCACCGACTATCACGTGCTCTGCCTCTGCAACTTTTTTGGTTCTGTAAAGCACACAAATATTTTTCAATGATTATTTCAGAAAGAGAATTCTTAGTTAACAGTATAAATCGACAACCACAAACCTTGTCCCATGCATGTCTTCCCTGAACGTGATAATTCGTCATTTACCAGTAAAATGAAAAGCTGCATGCTCACACTAAATTTCTGTACCATGAACCCTGTCTTTATTTTCTTTCCGTCTCACTCTCCCCAATAGACCCGGTACCACATTTATATATAGGAGCGCGATTTTGACGTACATAA